GGTGGCGCTAATAGCGCCAACTTGGCGCCAACAGCGCCACAGTTCTGAAGGAAGGCACTAAAACAGGGAAGATTCAACCTATCTTGGTATTTTACCCATAACTTGAGTTATACTAATCCTATTGAGACAAACTTGGTCTTTTTGGAAAGGTAAAAGAAATATCTATAACTTCCATGAAGGCCAAGGGGTCCAATTCTATCATATGGGGTGAAAATTGGGCAACACTCTATTTATATTTTAGAAATTTCGCCAGAGTCTCCTTTGTTTTTCCAATAAATCCCAAATTTGCAAAAGTGTTCCCTAACCTCAATTTGTACCTAATAATCATTGGGTGGCACACTAGGACCAGCAATGCCTTGGTGCTCTTACAACCCTTCACAATTTATATCCAATTTAATCAATATACATCAATCATGCTTACCTTCTCAATTTAACTTATTTCAATCACAAGATCCCATTTGCATGCATTCATCGAATCATAAAGCATCATTCACATCCTAGAATAAACCTATTGCCCTTTCCTCATATTACATACTTTCATATTACATCAAGTCTTTATATACAATTCACAACTCCTTCAAATGACATATTACAACATACAATTCTTCAAATACAACATAATGAAATAACCTCAAAATGAAACATAATACATATGCAACTAGACTTAGGCAAAAGATGGCATGAACAAATATGACAATATACATCATCCTAAATCCATATACAATGTTCATGCCCTAAGTCTAGCCTAGGCCCAATGGCCACCAAAATGCAAAATACATAGAAATCCTCCAGCTCAGCCCACGGGCTTCTTGCCCGCTGTCCCGACACCACTGCTACCTCCTAAAATAAAGTCCCCAAAGTGGGGTGAGATATACGAATATATCTCAGTAACCCAGAGGTTCTAGAGAATACTCCGCCTAATGGCTCACTTCGATGCATATAAATAATACAACATAACATCTAAAAATGAGATAAAGCAAGGGATTTAGTGAAATAGGGGAGCATAGGGATACAAAATACGACGAAGCTGAAATGGTCAATGCCAAAACCACGCAACGTCCAGCCTATTGGCTCGGCATATAAGCCTACGAGTTTCAAACCAAGGCGTGTTCCCAGAACATCAACCAAGGTACCCTCCATCCATACCCAGCTGGAACTCCACCATCATTCCAGCGGGTTCCGGTCTTTCTCCTTTACTTTCTATTTGAGGATCCAACCCCACTACCATCACTCGTGGCTCCTCCTTTTCTTCTTTCTTACCCTCTTTCTCCTCCTGTTTACCTACTTGACTTCCTCCTTGCTAAGACTCAATTTCTTCCTTTCCTTTTTCCTTCTTGTTTTCTTATGGAATCCTTAGACTCATATTATAATAACTCCGAGCAACCACTTGATCTACCCTCACTGTGACTATGTTCCCATCCTTGGCAACAAATTTCATGGCCAACTGATCTATCGACAAGAATATTTTAAACTTCTTCATAAAAGGCCTGCCTAGAATAACGTTGTATGCCGACCCTAAATCGACCACTGCAAATGACAAAGTTACTGTCTTATGTGTAGGCGCTTTGCCTAGTGTTAATCTCAATGGCATATACCCCAACGACTTAATTTTATCCTTTGTGAAAGCCAATAAATCAGCTCCACACGGCTCCAGTTGATCACAATCTAAATCCAATCGCCTAAATGCATCCCAAAATATGATGTCCACCGAGCTTCCAGGATCTACCAGTATCCTATCAACGCAATAGTTTGCTAATAGTCCTGAAATGACCAAAGGATCATCGTGCTCCGGGTCCAAAATCTCATCATCCAAATCTTCAAATACTATCTGCTTGCCCGTCTTCCTCCTTTCTTCTTTAAAATGGGGCTTTCCTGAAATGGCCATGCATGTTTTTAAATGTCTTTTTCGAGCATTGTTAAATTCTCCACCTCCAGCTCGCCCTCCGGCAATAATGCATATATGCCCTACCTGTACATGACTAGGAGATGTTTGCGTTTCTACCTTTTGGCCTTTGTTTGCTTTTTTTCCTCTTTCTCTAGGCGGGCTACGTCATCGATCTGGTCGCTTATACTTATGCTCTATTTCTCTGCATCCTTCTCTTTCACCCCTTCTTACATACTCCTGCATCTTTCCTTCTTTAATCAACTACTCAATAACATTCTGCAAGTTGAAATAATCATTTGTAAAATGTCCATATCCCCTATTGAACTCGAACCATTTTGTTTTATCTGCTTGTGCATAACTCGATCTAATGGGCAGCGGCCTGGGAACATTCCTCATCTCCATGTTCATCACCTCCTTCAAAATTTGTGCTCTCGAAGTATTCAACGGAGTGAACTCCCTTCTATATGCTTCTTGAAACCTTTCTCCGACTAAACGAGGTCTCCTTTCTTCCATTTGTCCTCTACCCGTCGGTCTATCTGGCCTCCTGTTTTGTGTAGCTTCTCGAAAACCTCATTCAATTTCTCTTTGAGAGGTTTTAAACTCTTCCAAATCAATGTACTCTCGAGTTCTTTCCAACAATTCTTCTTTTGTGTTTGGCCTCTTCTTTGCCAAAGATTTCGCCAACCCTCTTGGTTGTAACCCGGTGGTGAATAGCAGCAAATACGTCTGATTTTCCAACCTCCTAACTTGCCTAGCCTCCGCCTGAAAATGCTCGTAATATTCCCTTAACTTCTCGCCAGGCTTTTGCCTTACCCCACATAAATTATGTGTAGTTTTAGGCTGTGGTCCACAATGAGCAAATTATTGCGTAAATCGTAATGACAACTCCGCCCAACTGTCAATTGAATTTTTCAGCAACGCTGTAAACCATTCCAAGGCTTGTTTTTTTTCCAGAAAAACTGGAAATGTTCTGCATAAAAGAGAATCTGTTTCTCCACACAATGACATTGCTGCTCGAAAAACTGTTACGAACTCTCTAGGGTCTGAACTTCCATCATATGCTTTCATGTCGTTAGGTTGCTTGAACCAGCTTAGAATAGGCTCTACTCTCAGCCTCCAGGATAATGGTGTCCCTGATGGCCCTTGATTAATAGGCGTTACAGGAACTCCCTGCTGAAATCGTGGCTGATATGGTGCCACCCATGGTTGCCTATTCATATATGATCCTTCGGATCTCGCATTCATCATCTGCCCTTCGTAAGGTTGCGCCCTATAACCCTTTTGGCAGTCTTCCCCGTTATGATAAAATTCCAGGTTATCCCTCTGATTACCCGTCTGATGTTGACCTTCTCTTCCTCCTTGATTCTCTGCACCCCAAACATAGTAATACCTTGTTTCCTCTGCCAGGTACTCTCTTCGGTGATTATAGTGAAACTCTTCTCTTTTCGGCCTCTTTCTTCCCTGATATTCCCCCTGCCGCCTTTGATTTTGCCAACCTTCCTCTTGGCGAGTGTAGTATTGGCGGCTTGCCTCATGATTTTCCTCTCGAACATCCTGCTGGTCATAACCCGATTGCCAGCCTTCTTGATATCGCCAGCTCCTTCCTGCCTCCCGGGTATGAGCCATATGTACTCGCTCGTCCTTTACCCCGATCATTCATTCTTTCTGGAGGGCTTCTCGACTCCCTCGAAGGTTGCCACCGACGATTCTCTTGTCCCTTATTCCATTCGTCTCCCTGATGGGATAACAAAATATAAATAGGAAGTGAGGATTGAGAACCCCCTCTCCTAGTTCTGCAATGTTGCCTATTCTCCTGGTCTAGTCTTTTAGAATGATGTCTCATTCTCCTTCCCTCCTGGTGATGTCTGTTCCTTATGTCTTCTGCTAACTAGATTAAAGCTTGTCCAATTATGTTTAAAGAACGGCTCCTCCCATTGGATTGGAAAGAATTTTCTTCTTTTTATCCAACAAGATTACCATTCTCTACTCTCCGCTTCTCACGATTGTTATTAGCCATTGAAAAAGGTAGGAGTAGTTTTACCTTCCCCACAGACGGCGCCAAATGTTCTGGACGAACATTAATGGGTAATCTGATATCTTGTGTCTTTGTTATGGGGTTTTTCCAATGCCACTACTGCTTGGGTCTTATGCACGTTCCTGGTTCATTGTGCGGATTCCGAGCTTGCACAACGTACCTTATCCCTAAGCCCTAATTGTGATGTGGGCTCTATTTAGACTTGCCTAAGCCCATATGACCCGGAACAAGTTTAATTCTTTAAACTAAATTATATTTTTCAATTCAATTCAGCAAAGAAACCGAAATGAACCCAACTGATTTATATACACCTCGAATTGAAGCTACTCAAGCAACTCAAATGATAGAAGTTAAGAAACTATTGCAAATCAATATTCGGACGGTTATGGTAGATCTTGATAGGTTTTATATAATTGACATTTATAAGTTTTGTTTTGTTTTTTGTTTTTTTAATGAGACAATGATAGTTGTATTTAACAGATAGTACAACTTACTTATTTACTTGGATCTACTAATTATTTTTGTAAATCAAAAGTGCAATTAAATATTCTTATTATTTAAATTTTTTGTGTAATTAATTGTATTTAACAGATAGTACAATGATAGTTGTATTTAACAGGTAGTACAAGTTAAATATTTGTGTAATTAATAGTTTGATATATATATATATATATATATATATATATATATATATATATATATATTTTTATAATTTTTTCATTAACAAAAAAACGTAACTAAATGTTCTTATTATTTAAAATTTGTTTTTAAAATTTTCAAATCACCACAAATGAATTAACAGAACGAATCTTTGTTATTTTTTCAAAAGTAAGAAACAAGAAACCACTAAACATTTTTTTAATAAAAAATCTAAAAATATTGAACAATTTAAAATAAATTAAAAAATACTTTAAATATATACCACCAAAAAAAAAAAAAAAACCTTTAAATGAAACTCAGGACATGCTATTCCCGCTTTTATCCACTTTCAGTTTCATTTGAAATTCAGAGGTAAACGGCACACACAGAGTCAAGCGAAGAAAAGAGAAGAGAAAAGCCTCTCTCTCCCTCTCTCTCTCTATGGCTCCTCATTTCGTCTTCCCTCGAACTCTTCAAGACCTCGAAGAAGAACACCAAGATAACCGTCTCTACGTCCACAACTCTCTCAACATCTCTTCCTTTCGCTCCTCCCAACTTGAAGAGTTCGTCAAAGGTAATAAATAATAAATAATAATATCTAACTCTTGTTTTTATTAACAATTCGCAGCATATTTTATATCTTCCAATCAATCACACATCAAATCTTTTGGTTGTGAACAACGAACAGATGTGTCGTTCGATCTCTCCGATAAAGAACTCTTGTGCGTTGAGGATCAAGATGTTTTCGATCGCGTCTACTCCTTGATTCGCGGTTACGCAAGTCTCCCGGATTCTTGTAAATTGAACCTCGTCGAAAGTCTTCGTTCCAATCTCAGTGTGCTTCTACCTAATGTCGATTCGCTTTCCAGGGTTTCCAATTCACACGATGAGGATATTCCTGTTCTGGATCGTGTCGCTTCTCATCGTAACTCTTTTAAGATATACACCTTCTTCCTCCTTCAAATTGTTCTTGCCGAACACTCCAATCACTCCTCCAAGGTACTTCCATTTCTCTCTCTGTACTATACACACGACGAGCCAGAGCTTTATAGCACTAGGTTCGTTTAAATGAGGCAGAGCATGATTTTTTATTTTTTTTTTTTAAATTGAACTAATTCTAGTAAAAAGATGGAAAAAAAGAAGAAGATTAAAAACACTATGGTTTCATTTGGTTGTATGGTTTTATCTACGCTAAACATTACCTCCTCCTTTATGTATGTATGAATAGTGCTTTCAGGGTTCACCAAACCTTATGGCAAAATATCAACCATTGAAAATGAATTTTATTTTTTATTTTTTAAAAGAAGGCACTCTGGTACTATAAAACTCTCTAGAGTTAGGGAATTTAAATATTTTACATATTATGAAATTCAACTGGGGATAGCGTAGAGTAAGAAAACTCGGTTTAGTTAGGGTTAGGGGCATGTTGTATTGCTCTATCTCATAACTAGGGTTTCAGGTGGTAGTAGCAAGTTCAAGGAAGAAACAAGCTGTGAATTCGTGGAATTGGGAGGCACAGAGAGCTCGTATACTTAATCTGATTGCTAACTCATTGGAGATCAACCTTGAATTGCTTTTCGGTTCAGCGGAACTTGATGAAAGTTATCTATCATTCATTACAAAGTGAGTGATTCTGTGTGTCTTTTTTATTTTCAGTTTGGTAAAATAGTAGGGGTTGAGTTGAGACTTTTTCTAATTTGGCATTTACTTGTTTGTAGAAATGCATTCTCTATGTTTGAGAATGCCGCATTCTTAAAAGATTCCGATGCAAAAGATGCTCTCTGTCGTATAATTGGAGCGTGCTCTACCAAGTACCGTTACACGGCACAATCGTGTGCGTCCATAATACACCTAATTCACAAATATGATTTTGTTGTGACCCACATGGCTGATGCAGTGGCTGGTGCTGAGAAGAAGTATGGAGATGGAAGCCTGGCCACCTCCCTTGTTAGGGAGATTGGAAGGACGAGTCCGAAAGATTATGTGAAGGACACTGTTGGTGCTGAAAATGTGGGGCGTTTTCTAGTAGAGCTTGCTGATCGCCTTCCAAAGTTGATTTCCACAAACATTGGGATTCTTGTTCCTCACTTTGGTGGAGAGTCCTATAAGATTAGAAATGCTCTTGTTGGTGTTCTGGGGAAGCTAATAGCGAAGGCATTTAAGGATGTTGATGGTGAAGTGAGTTCTAAATCCATTCGCTTGCGTACCAAGCAAGCTATGTTGGAAATTTTGCTTGAGCGTTGTAGAGATGTTTCGGCTTATACAAGAAGTCGAGTTCTTCAGGTATGGGCTGAATTATGTGAAGAACACTCTATTTCAATTGGTCTGTGGAATGAGGTTGCAGAAGTTGCTGCTGGAAGATTGGAGGACAAGAGTGCAATGGTAAGAAAATCTGCTTTAAATCTGTTAATCATGATGCTGCAGCACAACCCATTTGGTCCACAGCTTCGAATAGCTTCATTTGAAGCAACCTTAGATCAGTACAAAAAGAAGTTAAAAGGGCTTGAGCCTTCAGAATGTTCAGCGGATGATTTACCATCTGATTCTGATAATTTTAATGGTGATGGTGAAGTTGAGGATTTAAATTTTGAAAATGTTGCAAAAGAGCAGCAAGACAGTTTAACTGATACTTGCATGACCCAGACAGAAGATGCGATCCCTTTGCAGAACAATAGTGTGCCAGATGTTGGGAACTTGGAGCAGACTAGGGCCTTGGTTGCATCGCTTGAGGCCGGATTGAGGTTCTCTAAATGCATAGGGGCCACAATGCCAACACTTTTACAATTGATGGCTTCTTCTTCTGCTACTGACGTTGAAAACACAATTCTATTATTGATGAGGTGCAAACAGTTTCTAATCGATGGCTCAGAGGAATGTCTCCGAAAGATGTTACCACTGGTAAGCCTTTGTTTTTTATATTGTGAAACAAGGATATTCAAGTTTTATTTGATTGTTTCTTCAATGTGTTATGGGCTGTCTACTCTTTCTTTGTAATCCTTGATTTTTCTAAAATTAATTCTTTCTCTCTGCGATATGCTCTCGGTTTTAGGTATTTTCCCATGACAAATCCATCTATGAAGCAGTGGAGAACGCTTTCCATACAATATACATCACGAAAACTCCAATCGAAACTGCCAAGAATCTCTTGACTCTTGCAACTGATTCCAACATAGGAGATCTGGCAGCTCTTGAGTTTATAGTTGGCGCCCTGGTCTCTAAGGGTGATATATCTTCCAGCACAGTATGTTTTCATGTATTGTCTTGAGTAGTATGCTGCATAAATTATTTGAACTCCTCTAGATTTGACTTCAGGATAATATATTATACCCAAGAAATATGACCTTTTTCAGGCTAAGAACAAGATTTATGTACTGCGGTATCATTTATGCAAAGTGTTTGGTCTACATTTGTGCAAACACAACTGATTAGCAACTCTACATCTTAGTTATTTCAAATATCAAATATCAATCCATGCTGTAAAGGTTCAGTTATTTTTTCGGAGTTCTTTAAAATATTTTATAATCGTTAAATGTTTTGTGGAAAGAAGGCTCTATGTTTACTTTTCAGTTTTATATCCACGTGCACAAATTTAAATATCATTTGGGACTCGGCTTATATTTTCCCGTTTGCATGTCATTTGGTGATAAACACTGCCCTTAGATAAGAACATGTTTTACAATGGGAAGTAGGACTTGTATTGTTAATGCTGATATTGAGCTTTTATGGGATTAGAATTAGAATGGAACATCATAAAAAATTCTAGCTGCAAGTGTATCAAATTTGTTTCTCATCATTGATTTGATTTCCTCGTCATGTCTTTGCTATTGCAGATATCAGCATTATGGGATTTCTTTTGCTTCAATGTTGGTGGAACCACTGCAGAGCAAAGCCGTGGTGCTTTATCTGTCCTTTGCATGGTCGCGAAGACATTAACTGGTGTGCTTGGCTCACATTTACAGGACATCATTGATATTGGGTTTGGTCGTTGGTCTAAAGTTGATCCTTTGCTAGCTAGGACAGCATGTCTTGCTATCGAGAGACTGTCCGATGATGACAAGAAAAAATTGTTGACTAATAATAGTGTTCGAATATTTGGTATTCTCGAAAGTTTAATCACTGGTTTTTGGCTTCCAGCGAATATTTGGTATGCTGCTGCTGACAAAGCAATAGCTGCCATGTACGCTGTTCACCCTACTCCAGAAACCATAGCAGCTGATATGATAAAGAAATCTCTCAGTTCTGTTTTCAATGACGGTGGTGGTAATTTGCAGAGTGACATTGATGCTAGTAATGGCTGCATGCCTATCACCGTTCAAGTAGCAAAACTTAGCAGATGTTTGTTTGTCATAAGTCATATTGCCATGAATCAACTTGTATATATTGAATCCTGTGCCCGTAAAATTCAGAAGCAAAAGCTTACGAAAGAGAAAAAGGACATTGAGAATCAGAGTATAGACAGTAATGGCACTGCATCAACTGGTACACAGAAGGTGCAAGCATTGCTTTTATTACTGTTGTGCATCCTTGATAGCTTGAACTGTCAGTCGTCAGAAAAATATCTTGATCATTTGCTTTCAAATCTTTATAACTTTGTCCTATTAATGTGTTGCAGGATAATGATATAAATGCAGAGTTAGGATTTGCTGCCTCTGAGGATGCCGCACTTGATGCTTTGTTTGAAAAAGCAGAAAAAGAAATAATTTCTGGCGGTTCAAATGTAAAGAATTTGGTTGGTATCTGTGCCACCTTTTTGTCAAAGCTTTGTAGAAATTTTGGACTAATGCTGAAGGTGATTGCCTTGATATCCTTCCCTAATCCTAAGCTGTCTTGCAATTTTCTATTCATAATTTGGTAATTTTTTTGTAAATGCCTATATATGGAAACCAGCAGTTAATATCGAAATGTTGAAAAGAGTATAATTTCAAATGTTAATTATTGTCTCGCATAAAGTTTTATAACATTATAAAGGACAAACTTTTCTTTTTTTTCTTTATGTTTCCGCAATTTATTAATTATTTGCTTGATAAAATGGCATTAATTCTTCCATTTGTTCAGTATCCAGAGTTACAGGCATCTGCAATGCTTGCTTTGTGTCGATTGATGATTATTGATGCAGATTTTTGGTGAGTTCCTTGTTAAATCTTTACCTCATATCCCTCATTCATGTTCCTTCTTATCCATTCCTTATAATGAAATGAAAATAGTGGTCTAAGTGAATTGCTTTCAGTGATGAAAATCTCCAGCTCCTCTTCACAGTTGTGGAAAGTGCACATTCAGAAATTGTCCGTTCTAATTGCACTATTGCACTGGGAGATTTATCAGTACGGTTTCCCAACCTTCTAGAACCATGGACCGAAAACATGTATGCCCGCCTACAAGATCCTTGTGTATCTGTAAGGAAGAATGCTGTTTTGGTGCTTTCACATCTCATACTAAATGACATGATGAAGGTAGAGGTCACTAAAGTTGTTATTTCTTTTTCAATTTTGCAGTGGTTTGACACTGATGCAATAATTTATTGATCAGGTGAAAGGGTACATTAATGAAATGGCTGTAAGATTAGAAGATGAAGATGAGAGAATTTCAAATCTGGCTAAGTTATTTTTTCTTGAACTTTCCAAGAAAGGTTCTTACTAATAATTTTCTCTTTTGTAGAAAAATATCTGCTCTTATTCTCGATGACATTTTTAATGGTAGGAAGTTGTTTAATATATACTCTTCTGGTCATGATAACAGGAAACAATCCAATATATAATTTGCTTCCGGATATACTTAGCAAATTATCCAAGCAGAATCTGAGCAAAGATTCTTTCTGTAACATCATGCAATTTTTAATTGCTTCCATCAAGAAGGTATATGTTAGTTCACAATGTTGAAATTGGTCTATATATATTCTGATTGCCATCCTGACATTAGTTTCTTTAAGTACTCCAGGACAGACAAATGGAAGCTCTTGTGGAAAAGCTATGTAATCGGTTTAGTGGTGTTACAGGTATCTTCTTTTACCCTTTGAAATTTTTTAAATACTCTTTATAAGCAGTTCCCTGCTGTAGCTTGTCCGCCATTAAACAAACATTTGCACAAGTTTGTGTCAAAAAGTGTCTAAACTAGTATTCAATGAGATAGTATACTTGAAGGTATGTTATTCCAATAAATAGCAATTTTTTCAGATCAAGAACCACTATCATTAGGTTTTCTTGAAATTCTGATCGACCTGGCATCTGTTGGACATATATAAAGGTTTTGAATATTTGCTTCTTCTCTTTCCTTCGTTTATATTTTTTCAAGTCATAGACACTCGTTGCTTTTGTTCGTTTCAGAACGCGACCAGTATTTATAATATTACTTCCATGTTTTTTTTTTTCCTGGTCAGCATGTCCTTTAATCTAGTTGATCGCTTTCTAAGTGAGCCCAATCATAAGATTCTGAGACTAAGCTACATTTTTCTCCTTTCATAGTTTTGTGCTCGTACACAATGAACATTTTGCATATCTTATAAATGATAAGAGTCAGACTACTCTGGTAAAATGCTTTTCAGTTTTTAATGGGGGATAGGATGCGCCTAACAGTTTCCGGTTTCACGTTTGATTAGCTAATGAGCTATATCATAAGTTTTTATAGAACCTGTCCTTCCTTTTTCTCCTTGTAATTGCAATGGGCTTTGTAATCAATTACAAAACCAAGAGAAATTAATTTCTTTTAGTTTACTGTTCATAGTGAGCAATTGTGGCTTTATCTCTCTGCAGATGTCAGACAATGGGAATATATATCTTATTGTCTCTCTCAGCTATCATTTACTGAAAGAGGGATGAAAAAACTCATAGATTTATTTAAGACATATGAACATGTCTTGTCAGAGGATTCTGTTATGGATCATTTCAGGAACATACTAACCAAGGTAATGATGTTATGGATCATTTCAGGAACATACTAACCAAGAAAATGATGTTTTTGTTTGCTCCTGCGTACTTTCTGTAAAAATGGCTGAGGCTTTTTCTTGTCTAATTTAAATTGAAATTAGGGCAAGAAGTTCGCAAAACTTGAAATGAAGTCTTGCATTGAGGAGTTTGAGGATAAGCTGAATAAGTTCCACATGGAAAAAAAGGAACAAGAAGTTACGGCTCGAAATGCCCAAATCCATCAACAGAAGATTGGCTGCAGGGAAGGTTTTACCGTGGCTACAAATTCTGAAGATTATTCAGAATCTAATACTGCTTCAGGTTAACTTTTTTTTTTAAAAATGTTCAGGGTTTCTACTTTCCGCTCTCTTCTAATGACCCTATATTATTACATTGTCAGTAATAGTAGTCATTGCCCATGAGTGCATTTTAGATATTTAAAGTCTCGATTTCCACTTTGACAATTGCCACTTGGAATATCTTCTCTCCTGATTCTGCTTTTACCTGTTTCTATTTTACACTTTTACCACTTCTAATTTGATTTGTTTTGTTTTAGTATAATATTATGATATTTGACTAACTGGAAAAACTGGAATAGATAAGGGAAGGAATGCTGTGTCTTGGTACGCTGCTATTATTATCTAGTATGTATTTGGCTATGGTGCTGACTTTACAAACTAAGAAAAAACTTCAATGAAAATAGTTACTGTTTCACCAAGCACTTTCTATCCTATCCTATCCAAGGTTCAAAACGATGAGTCCAAGCCACTCTAGCACGTAATTGATATTTTTTTTTACCCTTCCTTTTTGCTGTATTGACTTTGTGGCATTTCCCTCAGAGTAATTCAACAAATTATGAATAAATATATTCTTATATGATTTTACTGGATAAGCAATTGTTCGTTCAGAAAAAGTGCGATTTTTTCTGTCATATAGCTTCTTGCTTTGAATGAGCTTCTTGAGAATGTTTTGGTTAACTGTTTTTGCTGATTGTCTTGAGTTTTTTGCAGATGAAACAGACGGTGAAGTAATTGATGCACGCAGTGAAGAGACAACGTTGCCTTCTAATGGTAAATCAAAATCCAAACTTGTGTCCGAAGAATATTCTGGTGCTTCAAGTCAGTTGACAGAATCGGAACAAGGGGATATCGAAGTCCAATCACCCAGGGTTAAGACGAGAGGTTAGTGTGAACACACCTTTTGCGAGTCTGATTGAATGATTCTATTTTATATTAAAAAGTGTCCACCGATTGTAGGAGCTCAACGCTCCAGAACTAAGAAAAGCAATGTGAAAGATGGAAAGGGTGGTATCTCCGTCACCAAAAGAACTACTGAGTCAAAGAGGTATGCTTCTCTGCACGAAAGATTATGCACTTATACTTCTTTGGTTTTGAATTTGCATTATTAGATGCTAACATTCCGATCTTGCATTTTGTCCCTGTTCTGTAAATAAAAATAAAATAAAATCGATTAGCAATAAATGGATTGAATAGGTTGTTGACTCAAGTCATGATAGAGAATGACGTGAAAACTTTGGAAAATGCTGTAGTTCAATATTATGTTCATTTTTACGTATTTTTTTTTGGTTTCTAAATCAAGGAAAAGTTTGCGCGGATAACTGTTGATTTTTTTTCCAATTCATTACAATGATGTAAGTGGTTACAGAATTGGCAGGATCAGGTTTTTAAAGCAAGCAAATGTCTGCGTGTTATATGTTGATTAGTTATCTTTGATATTTATTCTTTATTTTGGACAAAAACAATTTTGCTATTTGATATGGGAAAACTTTAAGTATATTGATATGTATAGAGGGCACCATATACAAAATGCAGGTATAATTTTCCAATAAAAATGAGTAACTTTATATGATTCATATACTTTGGGAAAGATCGGAGTGAATTAGTTGTTTTGCTGTATTCGGACAGAATAATATAAGACTTAATTTTTTTTGTTATTCATTTACTTCTGCATCCTCATGCAGGTAGAGATACTCAGGCATCGATGAACAAACAGGTAGATTGGTATTTTTGGTGGTTGTTGATGCATACCTACATTATTATATAGCAAATGGAATCGGGAAGACCTGAGCAGCTGCTAACAAATGACTGCATTGTCAAGGTTTGGATACACCATGTTTGTATTCCATTTCCTTGTGTTGCCCCTTAAAATAGATAATTGATTGAGAATCAATTAAAATTAATTGTACTTGTAACAAAAAATGAGACTTTGGGAGATCCTCCTATTTGCACGTGTTTTCATGCATGAATTCTAATAGCAGCAACTATCGTTGCGTGGGGTCAATTTTAAATCGATATTGTTTGCTTTCTGTTTTACAATATCAATTTCTAAGAGCGTGTCATTAGTCGGGTGCTGATTCGAGGGGTAGTGCAATCGTGCCTTCTGATGACAGTTTAATTGTCAAAACGCAGATAGCTTACAGGCTAGTTTATCTAAAGTGACATTGTAATTTTCATTCAGAATGAGTAATTTTTATTACATTTTAACTAGAAATAACAAATATATTGTAACTGAATAATAATTTTATCATCATAACATGACAAAACGAACATTAGGACTCGCTTTTCCTGAAAAAACATTTTAACAGCATCAAGCAGCCATATTTATTGTCAAAAACACGGTTAGCACAATTCAATTAATGCTGGCCGAAATTGCCGACACAAAAATTTCCATCGGTACTTGAAAAGTTACTTGAGGATCTCAAACTTAGTATTAAGGCTGCATGTAAATCAGTCTATTCAGTTGTGTTTTTAAACATTAAAAAAGATATATGGTGTCTACTAAAGCTGGATGGTTTTCTTTAGTCAAAAGATTTTTTTTTTAATTGTATTATAAAATCTGTTTGGATGTTTGTTTTTTAAAAAAAGAGGTCACAATAAAAATCAAAAACGTTTTTTTTTTGGAATTTTAAAAATAAAATAAAAATTAAAAGTTAAATATTTTTTTAAAAATCATTTTTTTTTAATTTAAATAATTTAAATTTTATTAAAAGTACTTTTAAAATAAGTAAGATATAAAAAATCATTTTGTTTTCAAGCCCATCCAGCCCTTACCAATCTGCATGTTCCACCCAGAGTATTATTCAACTTTGTTGTTTTCTCGATTTATCATCGAAATGAGCTTCCAACTTTTTTTTGTTCACATTGCATCGTCATTTCTTTTTACAGAGAGTAATACGAACAATTCAAAAACTGCAATTGAAACTTTTTTTTTTTATGCAAAAGAGAATTAAATATATAATCTAATAGAACTTACTCAAATCTCCTTTTTTTAACTTTACGTGTTCACTGCTTCGAAATGCCAACAAATTTAAGTTTCACAAATTAATATTTGACTTTTACAGAGTGATGCTCTGCATATTGAAAGAAGCTTCCTCATGAGGACTCATATTTCATCTTGTTCAGGGTAGTCACCGACCTGGAAAGGATATGTGGGAATAAAAAATCCGAGTTTTTTTTATTATCAAATCTGAAATTAAAGATATTTTATGCTGCTAATAATAATAGGACCTATTAATACTCTTTATTTTCTTTATTTCATCATGGGATTAGGGTGTGATTTTCCAAAGGCAATTATTGCTAGATTGCATAAGCATGATCATCGAAGAAGGGGGTGGCGGCGGAGAAAAAAAATATAATTGAAAATATCAACGTTATTGTCAAGTATTGTAAAGTACTCCTATGCTATGGGCGAATATTGGGTACGGGAGCACGAGAGAAATTTGAATTGTAACAACCTTACGGGCATGCCAAGGAAGATGGGAAGGAAGGAAGGACAATGTAATATTCAGAAAAATAAAAAAAATATGAATAGTGTAGCGCTAAAAGTGTCGCGATGTGTCTTGAAGAGGCGCTTAAAGCGTCATGCTTTGGAAGAAAAATTGAACGATGCATTTAATGCCATAATGAGTTACAAGTTGGCGCTTTTAGCGCCGTGCATAAAATAAGGGGGCGCTAATAGCACTGTAATATAGAAGGAAAGGGCGCTTGTAGTGCCAATGATATTAATAAAATAAAATAAAAATTAAAAAAATATATATTAAAAAAATATTAAAAATAATATAATGATAATAAAAGTAGAAAAAAAAAGATTAGATTTTTCTTAAAGTCATGGTCATACATTGTATTCTTTTTTTAAAGTCAAGCAAAAAAAGATGATTCTTATCAAGCCAAAAATAATATTAATTATTTTCTATTTAGATTTTTATTTAGTTTGGTTAAAACTTAACTATATGTAATGATTAGATTAGTCAAAAAAAGAAATGATTAGATTAGTCAAAAAAAGAAAGAAAGAAAGAAGTCAACATATTTATCTATCGATGTAGATACCGTGATGATAGTTGAAAAAAAGGAAGAAATCGGGGGAGAGAGGAGAGAAATAGTGAGAAGAAAGAAAAAGGAAAGAGAAAAGAAACCAAGGAAAGAAAAGAAAAGACAGGAAAAAGGAGAAAGAAGAAGAAGAAGGAAAAAGAAGAAATGAGGAAGAATAAGGAAAAAGAGAGACAAGAAGAAGAAGAAGAAAGTTGGGGGGGTGGGGAGGATAAAAGAGGAAGGTAATATGAGGAGAAAACCTCATTCTCCTATTTTTATTCTTTTTCATCTATTTTACATTTAAAGTTGATATTTTTCCATTACTATAACACCTCGTAGTTTCATAACACTTAATTATAGTTAAAATAAGGATAAAAGGTATGATTAGTGAAAATTCTGAGTTCTGGGTCAAAATACGTATAAAGGTATAACACCTCGTATTTCTAAATATATATGTATATGTGATAATGTTGATTAAAAGGGTAAGATTAGTGAAAATCCTGAAATTAGGGCCGAAATATGTAAAAAGGGCAAAATGGTAATTTACCAAACACGTATCCCTAGCATGAAAAATTGAGTATAAGGTATCAAATGATAAAAATAAGGCCGAAAATGTAGGGGTGTAAATGGGCTTGGCTGGGCTGGGCTTTGGCCATCCTGGCCCAAGCCTACGTCAAAAAAAATTCAGCCTATCTAGCCTATTAAAGGCTTTATTTGTAGGCCAAGCCCAGCCCATTTTAAAAAATAAGAAAGCCTGACATGGCCTACAGGCCTTGTAGGCCTCCCACTATCCTAAGCAAAAAAAATAATTATATAGAGCAAAGAAAGTTCCATTCATGCATGCACTAGTACTTCTCATAAGAAAAAATGACAAACAAGAAAGAGTCAACATAATACCTCAGCTCTAGAATGTATATCATAGAGGAATAGAGTCAAAGAAATGGGAAAAAGAAAAAAAATACAATTACTGGATGCTGAAATAAAGTCTACAAGAGAATGTCATTCATCTAAAAATCTTTAAACCACCATTAAGACAAGGGAAAAAAGAGTATTATTGAAAGATCTTGATCAGTAACATCATAATCCAACAAGGTACCCATTGCTCCATGGTATTAAGCTGCAATAGCATGTAAAATTTGGAGACATTCTCTTGTAGACAAGTTTTCCTTTCATAAAATAAAATAGCACAAAAAGTAAGAGATATTGGTATTTGGTGCTTTGTGTCTTTGCCACATAAAATAAATATTATTTTATTATTTTATTTTAATAAATTAAATAGGCCAGCCTACAAGGCTGTAGGCCGGGCTTGACAAAATTGGCCTATGACCTATTTATTAAAAATACTTTTTTATAAACCTAAGCCTACTCTACTTTTCTGAAAGGCCGGGCTTGGGCTGGGCTCAATGTAGGCCGGGTCGGGCCAGCCTGACCCATTTACACCCCTACGAAAATGGATTCAGGACGAAAAATCGAGTGGATAGGCAACTTTCGAAAATTTTGATGAATAGTGATTTTTTCGGTGTAAAATACTGCGGTATAATTGTACCGATAAACGCGAAAATATTATCAGTATTTTTAAGAAACAAAAATATGACGGGAACAAGAAAAATACGTAGGTTATGAATTTGTGGTTTAAATTAGGTGATTTGTTAAAGTTAATTCGCATGTGGGACCCACCTATGGATCTTAAGTGACTTAAGTGAACCCTTTAATTAGAAAATCTGATCCTCTCTCTCTCTCTCTCCTATTCTCTTCTTCTCCCGCGGGTTCTTCCTTCATTTTAGGGCCTTAAGCTTTTGATTTTCGATCTCCCTTTTCTAGCCATTTTTTTGGAAAAACTTCCAACTACAAAGTTGTTCCCCACACTCTTGTGAATGACTTTCATGTAGAGTGCATCTTGTGGGGAGCATTGTGGAGGGAGAAAGAGCCATAAATCAGCCACAAACTTTGAGGGTTTTTGGAGAATTTTTGGGGCTTTTGTGTGGAACCATTGGTTGGAGCTCATTTCCTTGGACCATTGGAGGCTATTGGTGGTAAGTTTCTCCATTCTCTGAGTTTTCATGGAGATCACAAAATTGATGAGGGTTTGGAAGTTGTAAGTTGAGTTATGATAATTAAGAACATTAAATGGTATGTCTCCTTTGGAATTAAATGCTTAGAATGATAAATGATGATGATTGATATAGTGAGCACGGAGGAGCTTCGGGCAAGAGGCCCACTTAGTAGACGAGTTGAGGATGATGTGCATATGGAGAGCATGACATTTTGGAGGAGCATATTTGATGCACATAGCATTTTATTCAGCATCTTGGGACTTAGATCATGAACATATTGCATGTTGAATTTCCATACTTTTGTGGTGTTCATGATTAGATTCGAAGTCTTTGTATTTGATTTATATTTCATGCCTTTGGTTTATATTGGTATTTTGGTGAGCATGAGACTTGTCCATGGCCACACATTATGTTTAAAGGCATTTAGTGACTTGTGATGTAAAATGAGCCATATGATGTGTAAATGGAAAAACAAATGGGAAATATTGTAATTGATGCATTGCATAATGGATATGCATGATGGAAGGGCCTAGAGCCTACATTAGTAATGGTACATGGGTTATATTAAGTATTAAAGTGATAGGAATGAAATCATGGATCCCTTGTGAAGTGAAAAAGCTGTCAAAACT